TGTTTCTCCGATGATGACAGCTTGACTCCGCGTTGCAAGTATTAGGGGTCAGGAGTGTGACGCACTGAGTCAAATGGAAAGGACAGCTTCATCAACAAAACAATAAATATTTCACGGCTACCCAGCTCAGCGAATTTCGTGTTGCTTTCCCGGTTTGCCTTTTCGTGGCATTGGAAAGGAAAGCGTGCCACTTCCTGGTGGGGCTAAAGATGGGCAAGCTCTTCGTCACAACTCGAATGCTTCTCAATGACCAATGTGAACATACCCCAGCACCAGGAGGGCGGACATTACATTTACTGGTTCGTCACGGATCCTGTCACTGATCCCGGAGAAAATTGTGAAGCTGATATGCTGCGGCTCCCGGTTATGGATGTTGCTGCGCGCAGATGCTTGTAATTGGAGTTGTCCAGAACGTCTTGCCTCGGCCAGAACATGCCGGAAACAACTAAATAGGATTCCATTGGTACACACTCCCAATCAAAATTACAGTAAAAAAACACGTGTTCAAATGCTTACGCTTACACCCTTGCAGGAGAACTGTTCACCTTACAGGCTTTGCGGGCCGCAATCCGAGGAGCACGTTGAGATGCTTCTCCCCAGGACTATCCGGACCCTTCTCGCTGCGCGGGCTGCCGGGCGGGGCGTTCGTCGTGATGTGTTCCTGGCGGGTGCGGGTTGCGGTGTGACACAGAATTTTAAGATGCAGGGGTGGCGGAAGGCGTTACAAAGCCTGACGCCACACCTTCCGAGACACGGCGGTCCAGGATTCTTACAGTCAGTTCTGTCATGCAGCGCATGGAGCTCTGAACGACTGGCTTGACACTCCTTTGTTACGCGTATAGCGCTGACATCTCACCAGCGCAAATACAGCCACAAACACCCCTCGCTACAAACAAAATTCCACGCCCACCTACCCCCGCCCCTGCCCCCAACACCGCTGCCACCAGCAGTTCTTCCACTATTGTTACTGGTGCCAAGCTTCTGCCAGCAGTTCTAGGGTGTAGTCGAAAAGCACCTCTAGCTTTGTCTCCATGCGCCAGATGTCCAGCGCCTGCATGTCTGCAAACGGATGGCACAAAATGGCTTTATAGCTTCATAGTGCTGATGAAGTACATTATAGTGAATAAATTATAGGGATAAGTAGGAAACGACCGAAAATGAGAAGAAGGTTGGAGAGCGTGTTTGAAGTTTAGTATGCTGGATTTACATCAGGACTACAGGGAAATTTGATAAGCCAGTCTGACGATTGGAGTCTAGCATTCCGGAAAGTTCTTGCACATCCCAGAGCACTCGACTAACTAGAAGCCCCAAGCTACATCTGTGTTCTGGCCAGAATGTACAGCCTAAGTCCGAGCTAATGACCGTGAGTTGTTGGAAGGGGTGGTGGCCAAACGAAAGCTCGCACATGTCAAAATCGCCCTCCACAACATAACATCTGAAAGAATTGCTTGCATGCTTTAGCTAGTAATTTCTGACCAAGAAATGTCTGCTTTGTGCGCCATCATTGTCAATCCTTCAGACCCGCTTCATGCAAACAGGAGCCTGGCCAGGGCTTTGAGCCTTTGAGCTTTAAAGTAATCTAGGGTGCAGGACCTTGGCGTTGCCGCGGAGGCGGGCAGCTCCTTCAATAAATTCCTGGGTGATATGTCGAGTGATGCTTCTGGGTGTTAGTAGTTTGCCTGAATTGAACGGATCCTGCCTGCTTCTGCATTTGACTGCTCTAGATTCATAGAAAGGGGTTCTGGGGTACAGTAATTAGTGCCATGGCTGCAGGATTAGGATGCCGCAGATGCGATCATTCTGATATCTGAGCCCATACAGGAAGGCGGAGAGCTTGGCTTCACTTGCCCAAATCCTGAGGAATCCCAATAAGACTTCTATGCCCCCTATGGTCAACTATCACCAGGTGCAGTTTTTAACAGGTTCCCTGTCTTCGATTTCTGATCAGCGTACTGCCAACCAGGATGGTTACCGAGAAGGTCGACTTCATTTGTATGTGCCGCGCAGGGCTTTGGGGGTCTGTCATGGAATAATTCTGACCATCATTATATGGGGGATTGTCAAAATTATGGTCCCTTTTTGGGTCCCTATTATAATACGGGACCTAATATGGGGCCTAATTTAGGGGACCCAAAAAGGGACCATAATTTTGACAATCCCCCATATCTCTCTAGATTTTGGCCACCTCTGTGCAACCGAACTATCAGGGCCAGGGACAATGATGCTTGACGGGAGTCTGCGTTCAAAAAAATGCTGCCAAAAAGAATACCTATTTGAGAGAGTTAAGGGTCATCATGCGGGGCGTATGTTGTATTTCTCACAAACCTTCTGACTTCTTGTGGCAATTTCCACAATTGGTAGATGAAACTCCCTGGCAACAACAAACCAGACTTTTTAGGACTAGGATCAGGAAACCCAGGAAACTGACAGCGCGCCATTCCGCTAGTAGGGATATGACCAGTTTTTCCAAAAGCGGGGGTGCTGCACAACGTTCCTTGCCTCGTAATTTTGAGAAGCTCCTTCCTAGCTGCGGCCGAGCTTCAGTCAGAGTTATCAGACCGTCTCCATTATCCAGGAACCTTTGACTCTGTGGATAGGGGAGATGTACCTACGACGGTATTTGAGGACTAGAGGTGTTTCAAGATCTCCCGCATTCATCGCTTTGTGTGGTGGACTTTGGGGCTGCCACAAGCGGGCAGGGCTCCGGTGGCCGAGGCTGGCGGCGCTTGCGCAAATGAATGAAAAGGGAGAGAGCCGTGTCCAGATTCGAGATGCCAGGATGTGTGCGCAGGCGGTTTTGCCGGGAAGTGGCAGCTTCGCCCAGAGTAGGCTCTCAATGCTCCATCATTGGAAACTTCAAGACTCGAGACACAGCCGAATTTCCATGTTCTGAAGCTCCCCAGCTGCCTTTGCGTTTTCTTAGCGATTTGGAACTCGCACGTGCCTGTCTGGGAGACCCTGCGTGTGGGAATTTGGCCACGTGGACGTTCCACTGACCGGGAAGGATGCGTAGGAACAGCTGAGCACTTGTGTTGGTGGCCACAACGTTCACATACAGCTCTGGGAAATACAACTATGGTGCGGAACACTCTTCCTACTCCATGCGTGGGACCTAATCATCTCCGGAAGCTCAATCCCCAGCTCTTTGATATGAAGATGACGAGGGCAATTTCAATTCCTAGAACGCGGGCTAGTTGGGTTTTGCGGGGCCTGAGCCCAGAATTCCAGCCAAGGATGCTTGTACCAACAAGAACTATGTACGCAAAAGGCTCATTCTGCTTACACGCCCACCAGTCCGAACCAAAACAAAGAAGGCTCAGGAAGTACGATCCTGGATGAAGTGTGGGTGCTGGTCTTTGCTCTGAACATCTCTGAAATATCTGGAAACAAGGCCTGGGCTTGAGGACAACGTTCTGCTGCATGGACGCTCCTGCTACACACCTTGTGGTATTGGGCACATGGGAATATTCTTACTCTTATTGAGGAGACCCATTCTGTGCACAAACGCTTGAATTGCCTCTCAGTGACTCAAAGAGGCTCAGCAAGTCATGGTATTCCAGTTCCAGCTGACTCATCCAGAACTTCCTCGGCCAGCAAGGAGATCAGTATGTTGAAGTTATCTACGATCTCTTTGTACGACGCCCAGCGCGGGAGCAGCCTTTTCACTTTCGAGTGCCACTCATTTCCTCACGTTTGGGTCCCAAACTGTCTCTAACAAAAAGTTGCTGTAGGGTTAGCGCGGGCAAATTGGCTACGATCAGACACGGATTTCAGAACCCCAATGTCATCTGTGCTCCTACTCCCAAAACAGCAGGATTCCAGCTCTTTGAACCACGCATCCCAGCTTTGTTACGAAGGGGACTTGGAGTGACACCCTCAAGGGACTGGCCGCATTTCTTGCAAATTGCCACCAAACAACAAACATAATGGCGAGAATGCGAATGGAGCAGTACTGGCAATGTCAGCGGAACCAGTTTTCATGATCTTGGTGGCAACCATATGAGCTACTGTCTAAACTCCTAGTATCCCCCTTAATAACCCTATAGTAGTCCCCTATATTACCCCCTATATACTCCCCCTTTAAGGAGTTTAGACTATAGCTCATATGTAACGACTATCACGCGGACAAGCCATAAAATAGAAGCAGACTGCAAGCTGTTCGCCAGGATTGCCTGTGCAGATCGAGCAAGGCCACTTAAGGTTATAAACAACCTAGACCCTCCTCCTATCCTCTATTAGGGCCTAAGTACCTATTATTAGGGACCATATATCCCCAATTAAGGGTACAAGGAGGGTCCTGGAAAACATTGACGCGTGTATCTGAATAATGCCGCTCGTGGCAATTAGAAAAGCAGCCTCGACCATAGCGGTGAAGCACTCGCCATCGAGGATAGGTCTACCCTATAAAGCCTACGATGTAATACGCCAAACACATTCCTTTAAGCTCTGCTGCTGCAAGCCGTCTGTTGCTATTGGTGGTATGACTGCAACTGGCCTGGCTGCAAGTGAAAGAAAGTAGCTCCTTTTAGCCTGAAGTTTTCACGAGTGAGTCTGTAAGCGCTGTATGAGGACACATGAGCGATGACACTTCACGCTTGCCACTCGCTGAAAACTATGCAATGGCATGATCTGAAGGCCAAAATCTAAAGGCTGTCTTGCAGCAATCTGAAACAACATTGCTGAACTTCGCCAAGCTTAGGAAGGACCGATTCACATTCATCCGTCTCTGTGGTCATTCCGGCATGGCATCTTTAAGCTCTGAATGCTACAAGCAGCTACCTCTTCTGGAAAGTTGAGATTAGATATAATTAGATGGTGGCACCTCGTATCAACAGACCTTTCACTAACCATGTACACTGCAGCTGTACTTATAAGTGATAACATACCACGAATATGCTCCCACATCTATCTGTGACCGCTCGTGGTTGCTCGTGGTTGGCCGTGGTTGGTGAGCCTGAACAGCACCCGCCTTAATGATCAACAACCATGAGCCCAGCGTCAGCTTCGGCGATTGCACAAGCTTTGTGAACTCCTGTGGCAACTTGCAAGGCTTGGCGGATCCTATGCCGCGACCCTATGCCGGAAAGTTGCAACCCTGCCTTTGTGAAACTGGATTCTGTTCGGATCCGGCTTTTTCACCTACTGTAACGTTGTGCGGACTATAGAAGAAACGCAGCGGTTTGTGCATAACTAGGATGAAGGGGATATTCCAACCTATTAACGCTTTTAAAGTGCACTGCACATCAAGGTCGCGTAGGGAGAGACGCACACTTCTTGCCTGGAATCTCTAAACGGCGACAGTGTCAAGACGACAAGAGACCATTGTGATGGCCACAACCCTCTGTTTTTGGAATTGCCAAGAAAATAAGCCCGCAATGAGCATCATGTCAAGAGCGGTACCAGTGCTGAAGAACACATAGCCACGAGAAATGGATAAAGCACGGCTTTCCTCTTGTAAGAGGCATGCAGCACGTCAAGTCATCCTTATATTGTAGGCTTCCGTAGCCTTTTCTCCGTAGCCTTTTTACACATGCGTATGCAACTTCGCCCTACCGACGAGATCTAGGGTCTCACCTCCAACCCTCCACAAGCGATGCTCTTTGCAAGACGACCGGTTCTTCACAACACACAAGCGGACTTGAGGCGTGCTTCCTTGCCCCTCACTCCTCGAGGTTGATAGCGCCGTCTCCCGAAACATCGATGTTTTGGAACAGCTTCCTCACCTTCCTTGCCCGGCCGGTGCTTAATTACAAGGGAAAAACATTGCAGGCCTCATACTCCGTTTCCTGGCTGTCAAGTGGTTATGGGAGAACTATACTGTCTCTTTCTCTGAAAGCCGGCATACCTCCCCCAACAGTCCATTTGTCCAAACATATTTCAGGTTTACAAGAAACTGCTCAGACTGTAGCATATAGTACCTAATGCAGTCTCATTTGGGCCCCGACTTCTTAGCATTTCGGATCCTAATTCGGGGTCATCTCAAAAATCACTCACACGGGCCCTACTGAAGAGGCGCCTCAAAACACCAGGCCCCTCGCATTTTACTCTTTCAGGTAAGATCCTTCTTTTGGGGACACCCCAAGCCAAGATGTGTGGAAACCCCCACAGGGTCCTGAACTACTGAAAGTCCAGCGCACAAAAGCTTGGACCTCTCCCAATGACGGCAGATTGATGTTTCTTACCAAGACAGCTCCCCCCACAACTGCATGCAAAATGAGGCATGATGAACAGGCAGAAGTCGTAAAATGGGTGTCAGTGCACTGACAGCTTCGGGAGCCATACTGCCAGCATATCACATGTACTGAACTCAAACCCGGACAGCCCTGCTTGATGTCAAGGCTATATGATGTGCAGCTCATGTCAAGCCACAGTGACCGTCCTGAGAAAGAAACGTCCACTCAAAGGACGTCTCATGTTTCCAATGTCAAGCCCTCTCAGCTTTGCGGACCAAGGCTCCTGTTGTAGAGCAACTTGTCCTTCTCCTTCTGCTTGAAAGCCAGCTCTTCATCGGAGCTGGCCGTTTTCATGGTCTGTTGCCTCAGGGATCACAAAGAGAACCCCGGAAGCAGACCTGCAAAGACTACTGTTCTTTGACTCGGGCCCTATTTGGGATCCCATGCTAGTTAGGTGCGTAAAAGGTGCCTAAGCCAGACAAAATGAAAGTCCTGCTGCTGGCGGAACCAGGCACACAAACACCGAGTTCACTACGTTTAACAGCGCAAATCCAAAAACACAACGATACAGCAGGAAGAAGACCGAAAACCACTCGCTGACGTGCTCCACCAGTACTCTACATGGTGGTCCCCAGTTGGCAAACCTCGGTTGTGCTGCTCAGCTGAAACTGCTCATTTATGACGAAGCAGGCGAGTATCAGAAATGGATTTTGCGCAAACCACCCAAATCACAACCAAGGAACATGATTTCAAACATACTGAGGAGGCTGTGAGTATAGGTTCCGAAGTAGAGAAAGACGGCCTCACGCTTACTGGAGTCGTGCGTGGTTTCCTGGATGTACTGAAGCGCGAACATGTTCAGCACAATTCCGGCCACAGATTGCAGCAACGCCAACAGGCAGAACGTCCAGAATAACATGGCGCGGCTGGAGAGCAAGCACTTCACCTCAGTGTGTGAGATCGCAGCAAGGTGGAGCTTGTCGGACCTTATACAAGAACAATTCTCCCCTTCAGCCTCATCTAGGGAAGCTCGAGAGCAAAACAAGATTACTGAGCAGCCCGAGTACCAGAAGCTGCAAGGGCGCCAGGTTGCTTGTGAGACCGACCAGCTTCAGGCCACGGGCCAACTTGCCAACACGAAGAAGGCGCAGTAAGAAGAGGCTGTCCAAGCTGTTGTCATGACCGTCTTTAATTACCATGATCAGCTCAGCCATGCAGCTGATGCCCACAAAAAAGTCGATATAGTTTAGCCAAACCATGAAGAAGGCGCCACGAAGCACGATAACTCGAAGCCATACTTCAAATACGAAGATCGCTGCAAAACACTGCTCCCCAATCACGAAAACAGACCGTGTGGTACTCAGCGAAGAAAGGTCAGTGTCCCCCCTTAGGTAAGAACCCAGAATGCTCCCTTCAGCTTGTAACTGGGCTGCCATCCAGACAGTGTTCGCAAGAACAAGACATGACATGGCGACCTCAAACCTTGCAGACAGAAGGCACCGCCTGAGTAAGCCCACCTTTGCGCCCTTCTGCTGGCAGGGAAGTTCAGGCGTATCCTCACCACAGCCGCCATGCATTTCCTGATTTGGCAAGAGATCTCCCTCTGCCTCCCAAGCTTTCAGAATCCTGTCTGCTGTGACAGATGCGGATGAGGCCTCCGAGGTCCGTCGCAGTCGAGCAGCCAGAAGCGCACCCATAGACGGTGACAGCTGTGGTGAGGGATGTGCAGCCTCCATCTGTGTGGTGTCACTGGAAATGCCGCGTTCCCGTAGCGGCCCCATTGGTTGCGAGGAGACGCCCGAATTGCTGCCAGCGACCCTGGCGGCTTCCAACTCTGTGTAGTGTGCTTGCGCAAGCCTGTCCAGAAGCAGGTGGAAGTCGGAGACTGGAAGCGGATGATCTTGGCAGGTCTTCCGCAGCTTGGAAGCCGATCGTAGAATATGCGTTTTTGAGCCGGTGCGTAGGCCGGACTGCGATCTTGATGCCATCCGTGCTGGGCTTTCCCAAGTCAGAGACACTTCGCTTGCAATGTCTCCTTCCCCATCCGGCTTCGATGACGTTACGTTCTCCAGCTGATGTGCCAGCATTGCTATGAGCAAGCTGTCAGCGCAACTGGATATCCCTTCAAGTCTGCCCGTGTGACCCCTTAAAGTTCGAAAGGGAGATAGATCGTGCATGCTTATAGCACAATTGCAACATATCAGGAATCGCTGGTGTCAGGATCAATCGTCATACTTGATAACTATCAATGGGATCATCTTGCTGTGCATTGCTATCCCGTGAAATCTGGAGACACGCTGCTGGTCCCATTGCGACAGAATCCGAATGTCAACAAGAAAAGGTTCCGCAGATTCATCGCCCTCCAAGTCTAGTTGGCACCTAGAAAACCACTGTCCTACGCCCTAAATTTCACAAAATTCTTCTGCAACATCAGACGTAATTGCCAAAAGTTATGAGTCTGGAGTCATGGCTAACACCCCATTACGCATCACGTATGTAAATCCAATGTCGCATGAAGCAGCAAAGACTGAACTGCAGACAGGCAGTCCACCACTCTAGCTTACGTCGTGGCTCGCTGACACTCTTTACCCAATATCCTCCAACCCTTCTGGGGCGGCACCTATGGATACAGCCCTGTTTTCAAGTCAACGCTTATTTGGCTTCAGCTCATGCGCAGTCTATACATCTATAGATATACTTGTATGCAGCGTGTTGCTGGATTGGTTTCGTTCAATTCAGTCCAGAAATGCCTTATAGTTTGTCCATCTAACCGACTTTGCTCTCCTCCCCTTCCCCTCCTCTATCCCTCTTTCTTAGGGGTCGCAGCAGCACCCTGTATTGTGCATTGGCCATTGTTGTAATAGCCTTAGGAGCACCAGCAGCAGCATCAAGAGTGGTAATGCTACAATCGCACTTGGAAGCGGTGCCTGATCCATCTTTTAACCGTTTCCGTTCCGGAAAAATGTAACAAATTAAGCATGCCAGTTCTTGTAGAGTTGCCATTGCCTTTGCAGCATATATAGTCTCAGAACAATGCCTGCAAGGCTATTGGGGCACCTGACCCCCTGAAGCAAGCCTCCATAACCGCTTTGCTGGAATGACTATGAAGCTTTGCGCAAACCATGAGATATTTGAGGGAGCCTCATCAAAGGCCCTACAATCATCGCAAAGTCCAAGATGAATCAGCACCAGGTTCTGAAATCACCTCTGCTAGACTGCTAGAATAGAACCCTTGATACACAGGAGTGATTGTAGTGCAGGACACATGCCCATAGATTCCTTATCAGCCCAGCTCATATGAGGTCCCTGCACGGCCAGATATACGTGAACCCCACAATCTCAAAAGAAGCCTTGCAAGAGGAGTTTATCGGAGCGGGAGCTGCAGTACATGCCACCAAGGGTGTACAATCTTCAGCTTTGATGCGCAAATCCCTGTCTGATCCTATCAAAGACTCTACGAAGGCCCCATAACTGGATGCGAACGCGGCACTTGCTGCGGCAGGCCATAAACGCAGCCGCAGTGCATGGCTTGCGTAAAGAGTATGTAAGAAGATCCATGAGAGGAAGCCCCTCAGAAGGGATCCTTGGCATAAAGTGCTTGAGGCTTTAGGTATCCAGATGTCATACTTGGCCCCAATCCAGGGAATGAAGACATGGTGGGTTGAATTGTAATTCAACTTCGAAGGTACGCAGGAGAATGCAACGAGAAACCAATTGGAAACAGTGTACACTTACAGGCAAAAGAACTGAAATGGGACTTTGGTACGTGTGAAATGCTGGGCACATATTATGTTCTGCGCATGGCTGAGATTTCGACCGTCCAGCACAATTCTTGAGCACAGAAGATCTCAGCACACAATAAGTGGTACCGTACTGTAGGGCTTTGGCAAGCGCACTGGTTCACGCTATGCGGTATTGGGACACCCACCCCTTCAAAGACACCTTGTTTTCCCTTACATTTTCTGTACACACATATATATATATAATAAAGGGGGGTGGGCGGGTAGCTAACAAACACATGAGAGTGCCGACAGATAAGTTTGTCAGTACATGTTATGTGTGCCATATCCTGTACACTATGTTTGTTTTGCCACTTGCAGCTTAGATTTTGTGGGTACCAGTGAAGGGGGGGTTGCGCGTATGTATGTATGTATATATATATAACCCGTATATGACCCATATAACATGCCTGCCTGAAGCATTGGGCCACATGCCAACAAGCTACAAACCAAAACCAAGGACATACTGCAGTTGATACTAAACAAGCCTGCATGACCGAATACATACCCCACTGCCAAACTCCCCAAGGTATATAAGGCACTTGGGATCATGCATGGTTTTCAGGATCAAGAGCGTCTTGGGGATGCATGTCATGTTAGTCTCGGAACCATGCCCCCGTCGCTTCGAGTGATGCATTGGAAGCGTGCCTACGTTAACTTGAAATCTGTTGAAATCTGAGCGCTTGCCCGAAGACATTATGGCAAACCGTACCTGAGCAACATTGACCTTTCAATGAACCGGCTACTCATGCTTCTCACGCATTTGGTTTTGAGGGTGCAGGGATGGGGCTTCCGGAGCTCAAGGCTGCAATTGCAAGCATTCCAAATTCAATGCTCAAGCACGCCGCGCAGCCTCACTGCGTTGTCTCGCTGACGACGCAGAGAATCCGCCTCTGCCTCATAAACACAGAGGATAAGCCGAACCCCCAGAGCGCCTGGAGCCCCTGAGAAGCCTAAACTAACCCTACACCCGGAAACCTCAGGCCCTAATCCAGTCACTTGCTAGGCGGCGCCTTACTCTTCGACAGGGCCAAGTCTGAAGCAGCCTCTGCCAACTCTGCCGCCTGTCGGTATCCCCGCTTCAGAAACATTTGCACTAGTCACTAGTCTGGTTGAAGGTTTCTCTACATGACAATGATGGAATCTTGACTGGCCCACATACTTCCGCCCGTAGAGGTGCTGATACGCGAACATGCCTGAGTAGCCGAATGGAGGGCCGCTATGAACGTCACTGGCATCGAGGGAAGGGAAGGCACCCTGGAGGAAACCTGCTCTAAGTAGTAATCATAATGATAATAGGCATGAACATAGTAAAAGTAACAGTGGTGGTGCTTCAGTAATTTCTACATCCTCCAGAAGTATGCTTGGCATCACAACGCGGCTTCAAAAGTCGAGATCTATGTTCTTAAGCCGTTCCTCGATTCTTTATGGGTTGTGCATAGGTACCTGCGGGCAAAGGAAATAAGCCTGTACCTGGACTGGACTAAGGGCGTCCTCGCTTTCTCTGAATGTACTTAGCAGCACACAGCTTCAAGAAAGGATGACTATTCAGAGGCTTGCTATGTTCCGCCTCAATCTACATGCTTGCGTCCTGGAGTCCATGCTGGGGCAGCTGCCCAAACTGGTAGGAATTCTGGTTCTAGAAGTGGTAGTACAGGTCTTGGTGAACTGCAACAATTTTATGGGTGCCGGGTCATAATCCCCCCTTTGGTCACCCACACCCCATTACAAACTGATGTGTGTCAGGCCACTTTGCCGCAGAGAACGAGCCTAAAAACATGTTTTTTCTACTCTATGATCCTCAGACTGTTCTCCGAATGCAGAACTTGGCCAGCCTTCACAAACTCCTCCCGTTGCTGCGTCAGAGCTTTGTGGAGGACCTGCCGGCCAAACCCTTTAATCACTGCGGCCGATGAAGCAAAGCTGGTAGCACTTTGTATTGCCAGAATGTTGAGGATCTTGAGTTGTTGCCAGCATCTCTCCATCCAAAGTAGCTATGGGTAGCTGAAGAGCCCCTCAGCATGAGCCCCGCAGTAGAGATCTGTCTGTCGTCAAGTTCCGATCTAACGACTTGCGTGCTGTTTTGGCTATTGGTTGTTATCGTCGCCGATTTGATATTCTTTGCTCCTAGCTGTCTTGCCATTATCTGCTCCTGCTTGACCTAGCTTGCCCACAATGAGTGCACCTATTTGCCCTTTGTTTGCTCTTGTCTGCGCTAATCCTTGCTTGCTTTATTTGCTGCCATGGTTTGGGGTGGCTATTGCTGTGCTCTTGAGACAATCTAGGACAAACTGCGCCTTCCTGGTGCCCTCCTTTATTAGACATGTTTCCCCCTTCTGGTCGCTGAAGCTGCAGCAGCGTGCCTGCCAACCCAATGCAGGAGCGTAGGCTCTCCATCCCCAAGACGCCAGGCCCAAAACTGACCCCCAAATCGTTACACCCTCGCTGCGGCTACTGCGGCTAGTTACATCTCAGAACAATGTTCCCGGGAAGATCCACTGAAAGGCATACAATCCTTCTTGTGAGAACGCTCCAAGAAGTAGGTCGAAGACAATTCCAAGAAACCGCCAACCCACCTCCTCGTGGCTGATCCGTAAGTGCGCCAGCTCCTTGAGAGCACACTTGGCCCAGAAATATTCAGTAGTCAAGCATTCAACTTCGACGCTTGTAGTAGCACGTGTAACTTGATG